ACCAGAATTCGGTTGGACCTGATATGACGGTAATGGGACGGAAAAATAGTTAGAAGGGTGTGTTTGAGAAGTGTTTAATAGTATAAGGATAAGTTTGAAGTGATTTATAGTAAAGGGTATGTTTGAGAAAAATTGTAAAAGGGGTATATTATACTGAATCGCTAATCATCACCCTAAAATTATAAAAAAAATCGCCCTAAACCACACTAAATTGACACATATATCCCTAACTTCAACGCCTAACTAAACCCTAGCAAACAATCCGTCCCCCATCCCAAACTGGACTCTCATCTCGGAGAAAAACCGCCGCCCAAAGAACTGTTCCTGTAGCGTTGACCTGCTGCTGGATTCGCTCCCGCCGCTGCCGCTGCTGCCAGGAGTCGCTCCCCATTACAGTTGCTACCGCAAGAATTGCTCCCCGCCACCGCTGCTTTTCTGTTTTCATGGTTGTTGGCGACCAGGAAGAAGGAGGGCGAAGAAGAAGGAAGGCTGCTTTTTCATGGTTGTTGTCCTCATCCCGCCGGCGACGTGTGTAGGTGGGTTTGAACACTCATATGTATTATTTTTTAATTAATATTGATTATCAATGTAATTATAATTAAATAAATTGCGTGATTTATTTAATAAAGTAATATGTGATTACCTTCTTCTTCATATGGTGATAATAACGATGGTTAGGCCTTCGATGAGGTGGCCGGCTCTGGCCGGCGGCGACTAGTTTGTTTTTAGTTTGTTTGAGAGTTTAAGTGTTTGAAAAACAAAAACAAAAAAATAAATTAAGGGCATTACAGTAAATTTAATATAATTAAGGTGACTAATAACGATTTTTAGGGCGACAAATAGCAGTCCCCTTATACTTATAACCCTTTAAATTACTAGCTAATAATAACTAATAACTAATAATAATATATTAATTACTGTGTTGTTCCTGAGGTATTCGACGGGTCAGAACCCTATTAATATATTTGCCATAGATCCACCGTGCATTATCCTGTTTTTCTGGTCAATCTCTTCCTTTTGGTCGAGGACCTTTGTTGTTATACCATTTGTTCCCTGTAAAATGATAATTCATACGTTGAAAATACAGATGGATTTTCCATTTATGAATTTCTATTAAATTTTTGAGCTTAGGTTATTAAATAAAGTTGGTGATACATTTCTATCTAGGAATGGCAATGGGCAGGTTTGGGGCGGGTTTCTTGGTACCCAGACCCACCCCGTGGCAGGTCGGGTCCAGGTCTGGTAATTTATTACGGGTCGCAGGTTGGGACAGGTCGACTAAATGGGTATGCAGTTTATATGAAAAACATTAGAAATATTCGTTATTTTTATTATAAGACCAAGAAAACAAACAATATTATGATAAATTTAGTTAAATGATTGGAGACATTGAGGTTTTTACTAATTTACAACTTTATTATAGCTAAAATATGATGTAATAAAAGGAAAATCCTAAGTAATTTAACTAAAATTACAAATAATTTAGGCAAGAATGGGCCGGGTCAGGACAGGTCGGATCGATGAGAGTACTCATACCCGGCCGGCCTCGCCTACGGGACGAATCAAACCCGCTCCAAAACAGGCCAACTAGGTCGAGTAAAACAGGTCAGGTCAAAAGTGCCATCTCTAGTTCTATCAAGAAGAAGCAAAGATTTGGAAGCATTTTGCAACAATTAGAGTGAACGGAGTGGACTAGGCTCAACACACAACTTCCACCGAAAGAAGCTTTTTGATGGCAATCATCGAATTTTGCGTTCAAAGGAGTGTTGGGTTGGAGAAGCTCAAGTATTGGCTAGATGAATGGAGATCTAAGTTTCCAGGCTGTAGCATTTTTTGGTTGATTGTCTTTTCCTTGGATGTTTCATTCTCTAAGTGTGACCAATGTAGTCAAAATCGCGTTTTAAAACTTAAAAACTTACGATTTTACGTTTTTAGGTCACTGAAACGCTTCTATATAAAATCTCAGTTTTTATAACTTATGCAGTTAAAAACTCCGTTTAAAAACTTAAAAACTTATGATTTTACGCTTCTAGATTATCAAAACGTTTTTACTTACAAACTCGTTTTTTACTATTGAGTGTGACGCATGAATCATGTAGTTCTATTCAGATTTTGGATTTGGTAATGAACAAAGTATAGGAAAATTCCATATTATGACCAATCTTTGGACTTGTGCGTTTATGGTTTGGATGGGGTTTAAGAAGACATACTGTACCGGTTGGTCAGACTGAAAAGACTAGATTTTGGAATCAAATCGGTAGACGGGTTTAGTGATAGAAAACGATTGACCGTCGATTCTATCATAGTTTTAGTACAAAATTTTCAATTACTTTGATTTATTCGGTATAACCTCTGGTATACTTTCACAATCCTTGATTTTGACTATAAAATTAACCCAGTTATATGTTAATGGATTAACAATTTTCCATCTAATAACACCTAAATCGGTGTTATTTACCCTTCATATTAAGGTTTGTTTCGTGTCAATTAATATGCATAGTTGTTTGAAGAGTGTCAATTGCATCTCTATTTTGTTTCTATTTGATTTCGATGTGATTTTAGGGTGCTTTATATGTTACATGTGAATTAGGTACGAAATAGGTGCACAAGTGTAGACAAAGGGGCAAATTGAGGTTAGATGTATGAATAGAGATCTATGGTGGTCGAGGCGACCGAATCCTTGCCATCGTAGCCTTCCTAGATAGAACCTAGGATCAAAACCTCGGTGTGGACGGTGGATAGTACACATTGAAAGGAGCTACGAGTTTAATGCCCCATATACGATAGCCTAGATCGAGGTGACTTATATGGGTCTAGGGGAGATGCACTTGGAGGTGTGTGGATAACCACGAAAGCCCACGGAAAAGAGTTCTCACCACATTCGATAAACCCTAAGTATCTAGACATTACATAGTAGTAGCCATAGGCTAGGGTGAGAGATAATTTCTCAAAGTACCTCTTCTCATCTATTGATCTTTAGTTTAGGAATCGTCAACTACCCACCTGCCAAATAATAAGTTGACTGGATAATGGCCGAGCCTAAGTAGCCTGTGATACCGTGGCCCTTGAAATACGACTGAGCCGCTTTACTACATCACTAGGTAGGTTGTACATGGCCCTGTTTGGATTGACTTGTAAGTGCGCTTCAACTCTATAAATTTAAAGCTCGATCGAAGTAGCGATCACCATCTATCACCATCCCAACTTATTGCGGGGTTGAATCAAGTTGATTGATAATTTTTCAGTTGTCATCCACCCACACTTACTATCGAGTTGGATAAGCAGATGACAGATTATACTATTGGATCATTGTCTTCACCTACAAATCTATACATACAAAATGAAGCTACTAGCTTACTAATATAACTTTTGTATTTGTTACCCAATCTTTAAGCTTGCTTGATGTAAGATGTATGTAGTTAAAAATCAGTACAAGTCTTTTTTTTTTTGGCAAAAGATTACACGTATTATCGAGGAAAAAGGTAGATATACAATTATAGGTGTCAATCGGGCGGGTTCGGGCTGGGTTCAATCGGGTTCGGGTTCAAACGGGTTGCGGGTTAGTCGGGTTGCGGGTTAGTCGGGTTGCGGGTTTATCGGGTTCGGGTTCAAACTGGTTGCGGGTTAGCCGGGTTGCGGGTTCATCGGGTTCGGATTCAATCGGGTTGCGGGTTCATCGGGTTTTGGGTCGAGCGGGTTGCGGGCGGGTCGGGTTTCGGGTTGTTCGGGCCAGCGCATCAAGTAACATAACTCATTACTCATTCCCAACTTACACATTTTATTACACTAATTTAAAATATTTTCTCAACTTTTTAACCAATTTATTTCTACCTCGTATATATATACTATACTTTATTTTTTTGAAAAAAACTAGTCAAAATATTAAATCAATTTGTATGACTTGCAAACTTGTTATGTAATTAATCATAATTGGTAAAGTATTATAGCTAATAGTAATGGTGATATCAATATTTGCAACCAAAAGACACCGTTAATTGTTTATTTGATATTTTAGTATTAATTCTGTAGTAATTGGATTAAAGTATCTCGTTTAGTATAACCATGCAAATCTGGTATTGCGTGTGGTATTTGGCAAAAGCATAGTGATAAAAGGAGTTATTTCAAAATAACTCATTGCCCAAATAACTTTAGTAAACTCTTGCCAAACGAGTTATTTGTAAAATTGTTCGAATTATCCTAAAAATTGAACTATTAAAGATTAGCTATCAAATTTAGTAAAATTATTGTGACTAATGATTAATTTATATATTAGCCCATAAAAAATTACATACATATATACATATTAGCCTTCAAAGCATATAAGAATAATTTTAACTAGTAATGCCCTCCATATAAAAGTTAAAGATTCATATTTCAAAAGCTAAAATTATGAAAAACCAAAAAATTGAAAACACCAAATTTGTTTCCTTCTTTCTTTTCACAAACACACTAAAATTTCCCTCCTTCTTTCTCCTTCCATACATTAGAAAAACTCAATTTTCCCTCCTCTTTCTCTTCCATAAAATTGAAAGAACCAAATTACCCTCTTCTTTCATTCTACAAAAAATTGAAAAGTCAAAAGTTTCCCTCCTTATTCCTCTTTCATAATCAAAAGAATCAAACTTTCTCACTTCTTTCTCTTTCCACATATCAAAACCACCAAATTTCCACTTGTTTCTTTTCTAAAAATTCAAAGAACCAAATTTCCTTCTTCTTTCTCTTCCCAAAAACTTGAATACACCAAAATTTCCCTCATCTTTTAAAAACATCAAATTACCAAATACATTACTTTACTTTATTTATGTTTAATTGATAATTTTATTGAATAGTTAAATTAACCAAAATTTTAATTTATATATTATATTAAATTATTAATATTGTCATGATCTCAAGTGACCTTCATGTTTCAATTTTTGTAATTTTCTTAAAATACGTAATATCAAGTGAGTTTCATATTTTTAAAATTTCTTATACGAAATGAAAAATAATTTTACTTAAGTTTAGAATGAAAAACTTTATTTTGAAAAACTATGTATTGTATATTTTTATAATTATTCAAGTGGATTAGATGAAATTCGGGTTGAGTCGATCGGGTTACGAGTTAATCGGGTTCGGGTCAATCGGGTTCGGGTTAATCGGGTTGCGGGTCAGTCGGGTTGCAGGTCAATCGGGTTCGGGTTAATCGGGTTGCGGGTCAGTCGGGTTGCAGGTCAGTCGGATTCGGGTTAATCAAGTTGCGGGTTAGTCGGGTTGCGAGTTAGTTGGGTTGCGGGTCAATCGGGTTTCGGGTCGGGCGGGTTGCGGGTCGGGCGGGTTTTAGTCAATTCGAGTTGCGGTCGGGTTGCAGGTCGGGTTAATCGGGCGGGTTAATCGGGTCGGGCTATGTTTTGACACCTATATATACAATAGTCCAGTGACTGATACTAGTCACAAACAAAAATAAAATCCCACAAGAATAGGGTACATACAGAGGGCTTTTTGGTCACCAAGTGGACCACCCTATTAGAAGACAGACCAATAAACTTAACATTGAAAGAATGAAAACAGGTTTGAGGGATAAGATTCTTCCAAGATCGTGCTCCCGGAGCATCATTGACAATGCCCGATGCCACTTTGTCTAACACAACCTTCGTATCCCCTTCAAATGTCACTTGTTGCACCCCTCTAGCTAAGGCCCATCACATTGCATCTCTTAGTGCCACCATCTCTGTTAAAAAAGGATCTATCATAGCCTCATAAAGCAAAGGCGCACAAGAAGTTGTCAGCTAATTGAACTCTGAATGTTGAAGGCAAAATACAATACCATTAAACAGCTAGGCCTTGCTGTCTAGCTTTCACCAGCCACTTCAACGTACTCTCCAATGTAGTATATGCAGCTACATCAGTCAAACTCCTACTCTCTACTGCATAATCAAACACCTCATAAGCCTCCGCCACCCTACCTTCCCTACAAAGTGCCCTCACGAATGTGGCATAAGAAGCTGTTTCAATCTGCATGCCAACCTGTTTCATCAACCCATACAGCTCAATCCCTTTCTCCAACATCCTCCCCTTGCACAACCCGTGAAGCAAAGTATTGTATGTGCATGAATTCGGTTCACAGTTTTTCACTTTCATCTCCTCCAACAATTCCACTGCACCCATCACATTCCCTTCTCTGCACAAACCATTCATCAATGAGGTATAGGTGACAGCATCGGGCGGATAACCGTTGTCCACCATGACTTTCAAATACTTCCTAGCGTCACTGACTCTTCCAGATTTAGACAACCCGAAAATCAAGGTATTATACGTAACCATATCAGGCTCCACACCGTCCTCCTTCATTTGCTTGTAAATCCCAATAGCCTCACTCCCTTTACTCAGCATACAGTAACCTTTCATAATGGTATTGTACACATAACAATCCGGTTTATTCCCACATTCCTTAAGCACACTCACCAACCGTGTGGCCTCTCTAAGATTCCTAGAGTTACAGACGTTATCAATCAATATAGTGTATGTAATGAGATCAGGTTCCACACCAAAGGAAGTTTTGAATTCGTCAATAAACCCGTATACGGAGCTCAAAACCCTGGTCTTGCAAAGGGACTTGACCAGAAAATTGTAAGTATATGTATCAGGCTTACAGTGCTTTAAGGCCATTTCCTTCACCAATTCCACTGCCTCGTCGACGTGCCCGGCGGAACAGAGAGACCGAACCGCAATGTCGACAGTCACTTGATTAGGGTCGAAACCCTTGTTGACCATTAGATTGAGAGTCTGGCGGACGGCGGAGAGGGAGCGGGAGGATTCCGGCGAAGCACAGCAGTGAGGGAGCAAGAGGTGGAAGGTGGAGCGGTCGGGGGAGAAGGAAGGTAGGGTTTTGGACATGTGGTGGAGCAGAGAGATTGAATTGTCCGGAGTGGAGATGGCGGCGTAGGACTGTAGGAAAGCGTTGTTGAAGCGAACCTCGAGTGGGGCGCGGGCGGCGGCGACGAGGGAATTGAAGAGCTTCTTGGCGTCATTGAGATCCGGGGACTTTAGCAGGGGTTTCTGCTGAAGCCGGCCGGATTCTTGCTCTGCCGCGGAAACCTTGGCCGGCTTCCGTTTGATGGGTTTGTGGAGGAACTGACGGGGTTGATCGGAAAGGGGTTGAGAATCTGGAGCCCTTTTGATCAGTGACGTTGATACTGCTGAACGTAATGATGGTGGTATCCTCCCCATTTCAGCTCCCGCTCCGCTCAGGTCACGCCTACTTTGCGTGTTCTTGGTATAATTCGTTTTCGGTTCATTTTCTGCCTTTTCTTTTATCCCCGTGTGTGTGTGTGTGTGTGAAGTCTGGAGTAGGGTTCGGTCGGGCTAGGCCCAATAAGTTGCTCACATAAATCAGATTGGGCTCCTTTTACGCCATTACTAATGAGTAGGGGTGGGCATGCTGTTTGATAAACTCGAACCAAACCGACCCGAAATCGAATTATACCGAATCGATATCGAAATATTACTTTTTGGTTCGGAATTCGGAAGTCAAAAGGTCATAGTTCGGAGACCAGTGTACACAGGCCGAACCTGAATTTCGATTAGCCGAATCGAGAAACCGATTTGAAACTTAAACCCACAATCCTACAGCCCAACCTGACTACTGAAGCCTCTCACAAAGCCCAACCCTCTAACAACTTAAACCAAACATAGCCCAAAATTAAATTTCTTGCAGCTCACCACTCCATGTCTTCTGCTAGTGCTAACCTAACCCTAAGTAAAATCCATCCCTAGTCACCGCCTGACCACCTCCGCCACCGCTGCCCATCAAGGATCACTAAAAGGTGTCGCCGAACCCTCCTAATTGAGAGACATCACAGAATCACCCCTAATCTCTGTTCTTTTCTCCTCGCCGACCACTGAAGTTCGAGACCCTTTCTCTCTCTCTCCGCTCTATTCTCCTCCCTGAGACCAGAAACCCAAATCCAAACATAGTATCGAAAATCAATCGAGAAACCTACATGCATGTCGAAAATGGTTTACCCAATTCTAATCCTATTTCCCTCATCAGTGCTCTCAGATTTAATCTTCGATTGTGAGCGGACCCAGCTCGTCGTCGTCGCACGTCACTGGGATTGGAGGTTCAACCCTCCTGCCGCTGCCGTTGTCATACACACACACACACTGAAATCTTGTTTGCTGGGGCGAGAGAGAAGGTAACGAAGAAGAAGATAGGGGAAATTTGTTTGGTGAAGGTTGTTTGCTGGGAGGATCAATGAGGATTGGGGAAAGCTAATTTGCCTCTTTGCTGGGCGAGAGAGTCAGAGAAAAGGTAAAGAAGAAAAGGGTGGAGAAGCTTGTTTGGTGGGAGAGAGAGAGAGTGAGAAAAGAAAAAGAATAATCCCCTGACCCTAATCTCATATGGGTTCTCTCTGGGGAAGCTAACAAGTTCAGATGTGGTGAAAATCCGAAACGAACCGAGATATAATTCTGTTCGACTGAACCGAACCAGATTATATTTCAGTTGAGGGATGTTGTGATTCGGAAAATCGAGGAATACTAGTTCGGTTCGGTTCAAACTGAACCGACCGAACGCCCACCCCTACTAATGAGGCAGATGCAGATATCCACACTGTTTTCGAACAAGCAAAAGTCTCTCTCTCTCCCTCTCTCTTCCAAAGCTTTTATGCTTCTCCTTCTCCGTCAACGATTGCTGGGTCATCAATCGCCGGCCTCCAGCCGCCGTCAAGCTCCCTTCGGTCCCCATCCAACAGCAACAACAACAACAACTCAGATGCCCGCTCACAGTTCCTTTCAAAGTACTCCGATTCTTCAGTTCTGTTCACTCCACCTCCGGGCACACTAAACTGCCGCTCCACCTCACCGCTTCAAGCGGTCTCTAGGGCATCCACCACCACCGATCATCATCACTTTCCCCGCTGTCCTCTCTCCGTTTGGTGATGTGTCTCCCTCCCTGATGTCGCTTTTAGGGACTTTGGATTGCTTAATTGGTGGCTCCAAACAATGCAGTCAAAACCGCACTTTAAAGCGTAAAATCGTACGTTTTTATGTTTTTAGGGCAGTAAAACGTTTCAATTCACTCATAAAATCGTTTTGCTCTCAAAAGCAGTCAAAAGTGTAAGTAGAATCGTTAAAATAGGTGAAAAGTGATAAAATTGCGTTTTCGAACTGTTTTTATACGATTTCAAACAATGGTAAAAAAAGTCACAAATCCATCAAATGACGATGTTTTATTATGTTAAAAAAAAGGAGGGGTGAAATCGGGTTGTCTACCACTCCCGTTCCCATCCCTAATTATGCATCCCCTTCTCATTTCTCAACAGACAAAAAACTGAAGTTGCCGCCTGCCGCCGCCCACTGCCCGCTGCAATCCTTCTCAATAGACGAAGAAGCATCTGCCACCGCTGCCGCCAAACCCATACCCGCCTCTGAAATTCTCCTCCGCGTCGTTCGATTCGTCACCATAATCCTCAATTCGAAGCTCTTCTTTTCACCCACCCGACTAAAGTACAAAACGCTATTGCCTCTTCCTCTTTGTTCTTTACCCACTCTACACATAGCCAAAACAGAAGAACACAAAGAAAACTTTCAGTAATCATCAAATAAACTATTGGTTGGGATATTGCATGCATCAAATAAATGACATTGCCAAGAAAATTTGCTCGAGTGTTTAATGGGATTGGGTAAAATAAAATAAAATCAAACATTAGGTAAACCAATGGATTGATTTATCAGTAAAATTTGCTAAACATAAATAATATATGTGAATTATAGTATAAGGTACGACATTTTGTTTGACATATCTATGATAACTAACAATCGGACAAGCGATAATGATAAATTGTAGTATAGTATAAATTCCTTCTATCATTTATAACATTTTGTGTGATTTTTTGATTTCGCTAACTTGGATTATTAAACTCGCATGTAATCATGTAAACTTAAAATAGCTTGTGAGAATTTGGATTCTGAAGTTGTTTGTGAACTTTGTTAAGATGTTATGAGTTTGCTTTACTTTAGAGATGAACTACAGGCATATATTCACTTATCTAAGCTCTACCAACTCATATTTTATATAGTACAGGCCTTACTCAATAGATTTTTAGCTATTATACAAGATGCATAAAAAACTTACGCATTTACGCTTTACGATTTTACCTGTCGCAACCGCACCTTCGAATCGAAGGATCCGTCGCGTCACGCTCGGAGTCGCCATCGATCGTACAATGTGGTGGATCGAACACCTTTGGTCCGGTCTCGACCTTAGGGTCAAAACCGGGATTTGGTCTGCGAAATTTAAGGTTTATGGGAACGGGAGTACGGTTACGTGTGGGAAAGTGTATTCACACACCACAACGCCCAAAATTGGTACTACTTAAATCGATAAGTTTTTAAGGGTTGGGTGTATAATAATTTGCGACTTTATTGATGTATTTAATTGAATTATTTTAATAATTTTGGGTGTATTTTTAGAGTTCAATTGGACGATATTATTACCATAAATTTTGAACTGATGTAGTTACTAAATAAATTTCATGTCTATGGACGTAAAAACATTTTTTAGATTAGTTGGACTCGAGCCTATTGGTTGCCTACGTACCCAACTTAGTCGGGATCAAAGTCCACGTAGTTCGTTTATGTTGAAGTTTTAAAATGTTGGATTTTGAAGTGATCTTAACACGTTGTATTGATTGTGGTCAAGATGATGATTGAGTTGTTACAAAATGTATTTATGATGTTTCAATTTAGAGATTGAGTGATAAATGACCTTTTGAAAGGGTTTCACCGTGAACGGCTATTCGTGATCTATTGACCATGATTTTTTTATAAGAGTTGTTTAGGAAAAATATGTATTTTAACATAGCAAAAATCAACTATCTCACAGTGATTGAAAGCTAAATACCCTTTGGGTGTAGGAGTAATTGAAGACGAACAAACAACAAAAAATACATTCCTTTACATCGATCTACATGAGAAAATGAAAACCCTCTTTCGGTCTGCTCCCTTCCTCTATGGTCTGGTTATGACGAGAAGGAGAGGAAAAGTAACGACGGCGGCGACGGTGATACGCCGGCGATGGTAATGGCGGTGGCCATGAAGGTAGGTGTTTTCTTTGCATTTGCATGTCAATTTTGGGCTTCTTAGGGTTCTAATCGAACTCGTTTTTTGGGATTCGATGGAGGTTTTGAGCGAGAATAGGAAAAATGGAAGCCGCCGGCGGTGGAAATGAAGCAACTCCGACCGGCGACGAGAGGTATCGACTTCCGATAGGAGGTTTCGGGTGGGTTTTGTCTTTATTTTTATTTCTTTGGTTTGATATGATTTTTGGGGTTTTCTAACCTTTTTTTTTTCGTGGTTTCTTCGATTTTGGCAGAGGGTGGAAAGAGAGCCTGACTGGACAGAAAGAGGGTCACCGCCGACGAGCACTAACAGTGTTGCCGACAGCAGACATGGCAGGTGAGTAAAATTATGGGTCCGAATTTGGAAGTTTTGTTTTGCTGGTTTTAATTTTAGAAATTTTGGTTTGAGATGATTGAGTATGAATTCAAGAAAATTGTGGTTGTTTATGTTTGTTTATGGTTTTGGTTATTTTACTAATGTGCTGATTGTGATTCTGAGTTTTATGCTATGTTAATGATGTTGGGTTTGATTCTGGAATTCTATTTGTGGTATTGATGAATTTTGGTAACTGATGATTTGAGGGGTGGTCGAGCTCAAATCTATCCTTTTTGTGGGTTTTCTGGGTGAATTTGAATTGGGGTCGTTTGGATTGAGTATTTGGGGTGTTATTTGAGGTCAAATAACACAAAATCTGTTATTTAACCCCAAATAACATGTTTGGCTGACAAAAAGTGGGATGTGTTATTTGGATGTAGTGTTTTGCCAAATAACAGGTTTGAGACCAAATAACACAAAAAGTGTTGTTTGCCAAATACTTGGGAGGGGGCAGATATTTCCCAAATAACAAGTTTGAGACCAAATATCACATACCAAATAACAAGTTTTATATTATGTGGTATTTGTGTGGTAATTGGCCCCAAACAACAAGTTTATCAAATACTCAATCCAAACGATGATGATTTGAGAGGTTATTTGGGGTAAATTTTCTGGGTTTTATGTTTCTTGGTTTGAAAACTCAGATGTGATCATTTGATTAGGTGGGGTTCGAAAGGTTTGTTTGGTGTTTATATGGCGGTTTTGAAACTGGGATTTTATGGTGCGTTTCTAATGGGTTTAACTGCTTTTGCTTATGTATGTAGTGGACAACAGATTTCACTACCATCTGTACATACTTATATAAAAAAGGACAGCTTAATAGATTTCACTACCATCTGTACATATTTGGGATAATAAAAGGTACAGGAATTTTGGGTTATGGTGCGACCATAATGCGTGATCGGTTGGGTTGACAGTTGCGTACTAAAGGTTGCAATTGCGGATTAAGAATAATAATATTATAACATTATCTTTATTATAATATTATTAGAGTTCAATTGGACGATATTATTACCATAAATTTTGAACTGATGTAGTTACTTAATAATTTTCATGTCTATGGACGTAAAAATATTTTTTAGATTAGTTGGACTCGAACCTATTGGTTGCCTACGTACTCAACTTAGTCGTCATCAAAGTCCACGTAGTTCGTTTATGTTGAAGTTTTAAAATGTTGGATTTTGAAGTGATCTTAACACTTTGTATTGATCGTGGTCAAGATGATGATTGAGTTGTTGCAAAATGTATTTATGATGTTTCAATTTAGATATTGAGTGATAAATGACCTTTTGAAAGGGTTTCACCGTGTAGTCTATTGACCATGATTTTTTTATAAGAGTTGTTTAGGAAAAATATGTATTTTGACATAGCAAAAATCAACTATCTCAGAATGATTGAATGCTAAATACCCTTTGGGTGTAGGATTAATTGAATTAATCCTAAACTAAAGAGTCGATCACATTTAAATTTTACGTATTAAGAATGTTGAAGAGTTTAAATCCAGAGTGATTGTTAAGATTGCAAGTGGCCGTCGACCGACCTAGTTTTTCTAGTTGTTAGGTTTGGCGATATGTGAAGACGAGGTTGATGGTTCAAACCTTAGTGCAAGATTTTTTTTTGTGATTTTCGTTTTTCAGAAGCAGGAATGGTAGCGGGTAATTTTAGAATAAACCACGGGCATTTTAGTTATTTAGGGGTCGTTTGCTTCAAGGATTTGGTATATGGATTTGGTACCAAAAAACCAACTATCAAGAATTTAGGTACAATCCATTGTTTGCTTGCACCTTTTTTGGAGACCAAATCCGTGGGGCCCACGGATTTTAAGGGCCCAAATCCGTGGACCCCACGGACTTATATATCCCACATGTTGATGTGGGATTTGGAATATGGCATGAATCCTTGATGACATTTTACCCATATACCCTCATGCACTTTTAATATTCCAAAGTTGCCCTCAAATTTAACTATTATACATTATAATTAACAATAAATGAATAATATAAACGTTCAATTAATGTGCAAACATGAGTTAGATTTTTTATATCATTTCTTGTGTTCTAGTTTTCTTTGACCTTTTCATGGAACGTGTAATTCTTTGTTCTCCCGATTCTAATATATGTTTTTATATGTTACTTTTGAAGTTTTATCCTTGTTTTGTGTACATATCATAAACATGTCAAACATATAGAAAAGGGCAGTAATGTAATTTTTGACTTAAAGTAGTAAATCCCACACCTTTAAATCCATGATAAAAACATCCCAACAAACAAAGGATTGTTACAAATCCATGATGGCTCAAATCCTTGATAAATCCTTGGGTTTTTAAATTACAAATCCCTCGTTTATAAATCCATGAAGCAAACGACCCCTTAAAGTAAGATATTTGCTAAATATGGAGGAAACCCTAGCCGTCCTTCTCATTCGGCCGCTCACACTCATCTCCACTCTCCTTCTTCAACTCGTCTCTCCCAACCAGAAATATGATTTTTCTTGTCCTTTTTCCAATGAAGACGAACAAACAACAAAAAATACATTCCTTTACATCTATCTACATGAGAAAAAGAAAACTCTCTTGCGGTCTGCTCCCTTCCTCTATGGTCTGGTTATGATGAGAAGGAGAGGAAAAGGAACGACGGCGGCGACAGTGATACGTCGGCGATGGTAATGGCGGTGGCCATGAAGGTAGGTGTTTTCTTTGCGTTTGCATGTCAATTTTGGGCTTTTTAGGGTTCTAATCGAAATCGTTTTCTTGGTTTCGATGGAGGTTTTGAGCGAGAATAGGAAAAATGGAAGCCGCCGGCGGTGGAAATGAAGCAACTCCGACCGGCGACGAGAGGGATCGACTTCCGATAGGAGGTTTCATGTGGGTTTTGTCTTAATTTTTATTTCTTTGGTTTGATATGATTTTTGGGGTTTTCTAACCTTGTTTTTTTTTCCTGGTTTCTTCCATTTTGGCAGAGGGTGGAGAGAGAGCTTGACTGGACAGAAAGAGGGTCACCGCCGATGAGCACTGACAGTGTTGCTGACAGCAGACATGGCAGGTGAGTAAGATTCTGGGTCCGAATTTGGAAGTTTTGTTTTGCTGGTTTTAATTTTAGAAATTTTGGTTTGAGATGATATGAATTCAAGAAAATTGTGGTTGTTTATGTTTGTTTATGGTTTTGGTTGTTTTACTAATGTGCTGATTGTGATTCTGAGTTTTATGCTATGTTTATGATGTTGGGTTTGATTCTGGAATTCTACTTGTGGTATTGATGAGTTTTGGTAACTGATGATTTGAGGGCTGGTCGAGCTCAAATCTATCCTTTTTGTGGGTTTTATGGGTGAATTTGAATCGATGATTTGAGAGGTTATTTGGGGTAAATTTTATGGGTTTTATGTTTCTTGGTTTGAAAACTCAGATGTGATCATTTGATTAGGTGGGTTTCGAAAGGTTTTTTTGGGGTTTATATGGCAGTTTTGAAACTGGGATTTTATGGTGTGTTTCTAATGGTTTTAACTGCTTTTGCTTATGTATGTAGTGGACAACAGATTTCACTACCATCTGTACATACTTAGATAAAAAAGGGCAGCTTAGTAGATTTCACTACCATCTGTACATATTTAGGATAAAAAAAAGGTAACAACACAATAGGAATTTTGGGTTATGGTGCGACCATAATGCGTGATCGGTTGGGTTGACAGTTGGGTACTAAAAGTTGCAATTGCGGATTAGAATAATAATATTATAACATTATCTTTATTATAATATTATTATTATTATAAAAAAAAATATATATAGACAGCCTAGCGCCTCCAACCTAGGCCTAGGCACGTTCTAGAGGTAGGGGAACTCGATTCCTTTGAGTTAGATTGATCGATTTTGAGATTTTTCATGAGGA